CTGCCACAGATTGTTTTAAGCTTTGGCAAATTCATTGGTTTCTGCCCTCAGTTTCCAGTCCATAAAGTGTCCCCAGAATGACTGGCAGGAATTCAGACAGTATTGTTACACTGTAAAAAAAAAAAAAAAAAAAAAGAGAGATTTGGGGTTTTGCTGAATTTTTAACAAAAAGGAGATCTTACCCAATCAGCAGTTCTTATTTTACTTTTATTTCATACAGTGCCAGAAAAGCAATCTCATCTTTTCCTATACATCAAGGATTTAATTTGGACGCCTCCTCACTGTTGAAAACTAACAAAGACCCAAATATAAAGTTCTAATTTTAGTTCATTTCTATCACAGTGTCAAGGTTTTCTGGTTTTCTTTTGTTTTGTTTTGTGTTTAATGGAAATTCTTCCCTAAGTGCGTCAGTGATGAAGAGAGCAGGGCACAATATGTAGGATGAAGGATGGGACTGTAGCAGCTCTCAAGCCAGAAACATCCTCATCTGCCCCTAGCTGGTTACTGCAGAACGATTAATAAGACTCTGATCACAGCTGCCTGGGACAATCAAGAGCAGGAAGACATGGTGGTAACACAGCTACGGCAAATCAAAAGAGAGAAGAAAAGAAAAAGAAAGCAAGCAGCATATTTTTTTTTGACCTAAGCATAATCTTGCTGGTCTTTGTACTTGGGGTATCTGGGTTATCTTGTTTGTTTGTTTTTTTTCCCATAAGTAACTGGAATTAAGAGAGACTTTGCAAAAATTTCCAGTTTACAAGGAATTGGGTGCAAGGAGAGAGAAAAGAAGAGAGGATAAAGGCTGAATTTATTGTCTGTTGAAATCACATGTGGTAGCCTATGGAATGGGAGATTTATGAATTTTATTTCATGTAAGCTTGGTAAAATTTTACCACCAAACACTCACTGAACAAAAGAAATCTCTCAGCACACTAGATTGCCTAGGATTTGAACTTTTTATCCTTTCTCTGGAGCTGTTATCATGACTCATCTGTTAGGAGCAGGTATATGAATCCTAGATAATTAATCTCTTGTGATTACGGTGGCGTTATTGCACCTTCATCTGTCTTCCATTTCTCGTGTGAAATAAATCTTTGGTTATTAAAGTAGTGAACATAAGTGAAGAGGCTGGGGACAATGGGAACAAGAAGCAGAGGAGTGAATTAAAGTAATATAAACACGGTTATTTATCAAGAAACTGCTGTACCTTGGAGTACAGCAAAAAGCCTGGATTAGAATCCAGCATCATGGTAATGGTCAGGCACTGGTGATATTAGAATGACTGCAAGAGAGCAAGATGGACTGAAATATGTAAGGTCTAGAAAACACATGGACTTCAGTTGCTACAAAGCAAGAAGACAGCTACTGTGAAGAAGCAAAGCCTGCTTCCTCAGCACTTTTACCTAATGAAGTTCCTGCTGTTCTGAGATGTTAAGCATAGGCAATGAACTTTCATCTATTCTTTTTCCTGTTTTTATTGAATTTTCTGTAGCTTTTTGCCTTTTGTATCTCAAGTTGTTTAATTATAGAAAAGGGTTTCTTGGCCTGTGGTGTGAGCAGCTGACAGGAGCTGCTGGGGTGAGAGGGAATAAATATCCAGTGAACAGTTCCAAACTAAATACATAGCACATGGCAGACTGGGATTGCCAGAGCAGAAGCTGATAAGCCAAACAGTCCCTTTGGTCTAGTGTTATGTCCCCTTCCTCCTCCTCTCAGTAAACTAACAACCACAACAAAGGAGTAGAGTGAAGGTAGAGGTCCTGTGAAGAAACAGGAATTCTAATTTGCTGGTCATACGGCCAGAGGAAGGTCAGATTGTTTGGATATAGCATAGAAGCTGTGCAGCTGTTGACATTTTAGAGGACTGCCACTCTTCATCATCTAGCAGTACTTCAAAAAATACTTAGGGATTCAGTTCTATCTTGGGTTAAGCATTTTGCAAACATCTACTAAAAAGGTGATGGTTTGCTTCAATTTCCTAATGCAATGATGCATAGGACGAATAGCAGAGAGCAAATTCTTGTGCCATGCAATGAATGAAGTGACTTGGCTGAGACGGTGCAGTGTCAGTTGCAGAGCTGGGGCAGGCACACAGGTCTTGCAGGTCCAGTCAATTTAACTCAATCCTACTCCTAGCTTTAATTGACTTTAACTGAGTTTTCCATCTGAAAAAAAAGCAACAAAACAAAAACCAGCCTAATACAGAAAGGGTCATATGTGTCCTGGCACTCATCTTGAGATGGTGACAACTTGGTGATGTTGCTTTAATGTAGGGTTTGGTGGCTGTTTTTATTGGTAAGCTAAAATAGTTTTTCTGTTAAGGGGTGTGCTGTGTGATCCATGCATTTCTGACTTAATAAAGCCAGAGACATGTCTTATTAGTATTTCTGCCCACAAATATCTTTAGTCTATGCTTAGAAATGGGAAGTATTTAAAAACAGGCTATGAATACAGATTGAATGATGTTGTTATAATTACTGTACCAGACAAGATGGTTCATTTTAGGAAGGTGGAAGTAGTTACCAATACAGCATCTTATAAAAGAGACTTTAATTAATTTGAGAGGGGAAATATAATAACAGTATATTTAATGTAGACATGCTGTATCAAACATCTTCAGACTGACAGGAAGATTAAACTGGTTATGGTTTTTACGTCAGCATAATTGTTGGTTTCAGCACTTGGCAAAATAACGCCTGGATCACAAAACAGGCAAGCTCCCATAGAGCAGACTGTGGAGAGTTTTCAACATTTTTCTCTTTTCCATTTGGATGAAATAGTTTCCTTTGCAGTGAACAGTTAAAGACACAAGATCCTTAAACTAATGGGAATAACCCAGATTCTACCTCGGTTCTTCCCATTACAGTTAATGGGGCACATCATACATACAGTTCTCTTGCTGAAGGACAACATCTTCCTAGGCTGGGTTGCACAAGGTTGTTTCTGTGGGGAAGGCCACGGTTTTGTAAGGCTGCATCAGGCAGCTGCTGCCCTTTCCTTCCCACAGCAGCTTCCCTCCCACTTTGAACCCAGGACCATTTCTCTTCATGCCTTCATCCATCTTCTTCCTCAGTGATGTTGCGCGCAGCTGTTCCCCTGCACTGCTGCTGACTTTGTGTCCTTATAAGAGAGTTTATCTTCAGGCCAAACTTTGGCTGCAGGAATAGTATCAGAGAATGGCAGGACATGGATTTTGTGTACCAGGTATATGCAAGAGCATCCTCGTATTTGCAATGCAGCCCTTTTTCATGAACGTTAAACACACTTATCAAAACAAAGTTGATAGGAACATGAATAATAAAATGACAGAACAGAGGGAGGAAGATTGTAGCTGAAATTTAATGGGTCTGATGACAGACATTTAAAAGGATTTTTTTGTTCTTTTAAATAATGCAAGCAAATACACTGTTTTATGGATTAGAGAAGTGCTCAAATGGATTAACCCGAAATCAGTTGTCATGTATATTAATTTAAACTAACATTTTTGACTGTATTGATTACAGTTTTTAACTTCCTTCAGCTTTTCTCACTTTAGGAAGTGATGACATTTTGTTACTGACTGTGTTTCTGCTGTAAAACCAAACTGTGAGAATTTTTTTTACTCTCTAGGAGGGAGTTGATAGCTCTCCCTCTCCCAGAGGGGAGGATGGCTCTGTATCCATGACCAGGGAATTATCCATGAGAATAGGCACCTTCAGGCTCCTATGTGGTAGTGAATAATGGGCCCATGCACCAAACTAGTTATTGAGATTTCCTTGTATCGACAGCACCTGGTAATTGTTTTATGTTATTTTAAATCTACTGTGTGATTATATCACCATATCTCATCCATGTAGTGCCTCAGCTACTGGTGAGAGTCACTGAAGCCTTTGCTGTCTGCAGGAGTCCCTGGGACTGACAGGTGCTGTCAATCTGTGTTAGAATGAGGACACCTGTGTGCATTAGCATGGTCACTTTAGTGTGCTGTATTTTTTCCCCAACTCCATGTCAATAAAGATATTTTCTAGGAGCCTAACTCCATTGAGAATGCTATTCAGATCTAATTGGTTTTTGGTGTGACCTGGGTGCCTTTGTCTAGCTATTCTCTGCTTCTGAAATGCACGTAAGAATGTTTCCTTTTACCTCTTATTTGCCAAATCTGGTCTTTTCCCCCAAAGAGCCACTCTGGGCATGTTAAGTACTTTGTGCAATATAGGAAGGATATTGCTAGGAGCAGCAGTAACAGAATTAATTTATAGTGAAGTTCTGGCATAAGAGGTAGTAAATGGGAGCTGAGAATCACTATGTGCTAATATCACTTCATTTGGGACTTTCAAGTGGGAAGCTGAGTGAGAATATGGTGTACAGGTTAGACTGCAATCTCCAGATAATTTTGTTTATAAAAGTCCCTTCAAATGAAAGGTATTTTGTGAATGTTATTTGTAATCATTCAGTACTTCAAAGATACCCTGCTATTCCTGGATGTCATTACAGGGAAAAAGCAGACCTTTTGGAATTCAAATGAGATGCAGAGAGCATCATTCACGGGGAGCATGATTCCACTCCTGTTGGCAGTCTATCAAATATGCTGCCACTGGGTGTCCGACTTGGCAAGATGAAGGGCCGTTGAACCCAATGGCCCTGCGGCACCCCAGGCTGGTTTCCAGCTATGCCCGAAAGATGGGCTACTAAACACCCATTCGCAGCCACAGCTGGTGGCTGGGTTCGTCAGGGCTGCCTGAAATTCTTTAGAAGGTGGGAGCGTTTCCCCAGCAGAGTAGTAGACCCTGAGGCCTCTGGACCAGGGCCTTGCTGTAAATTCATCAGCATTTTGATCAAGTAGATCCTCACAGAAGTGTTGCCTTTATCTGTTATGTTTTTGATTTTCATATATTTGCAGTGTTTTGGGGAGAGAAATATTGCTGTTAGGTTTGCTTTTACCAGGTTAAAAAATGAAGGGGATGCACTGGTGTGGTGTGCAGCTGGGCAGCAGTTTCTCAGGGCTGGGATGGGTGTGATTATGTGCAGCACGTCTGCTTCTGCTGCCTTGGCACGGCCCTGCTGGCAGGGGACACTCCTGACGGACACCCCAGCAAAGCAGCCGTGACAGCCACAGTTCTGGTGTCGTGTGTGATGTGGGTGCCTGGAAGTGCTGGTTGCTCCACCTTGGGTTGCCTGAGAGCTTCCTTCTCGTTTCAGATAATCTACAGCTTGAAGAGAAGTCCTTCGGACATTGGCTTCTCTTCTGGTGTCAGACAGGCCACGACCATCCTCTCCCTGTCCTCCTCATGCACAATGGGCTCCAGCTCACAACAACATAATCCCTATCCCAGGGCTCCCTGCCTTTTGATCCTGCTTTCATTGCAAGTACAATTGGCATCCACCATAACTAAAGGTAATGCTTTCAGCCTATAATAGCAAAAGAATAAAGGACTTTTTTTTTTAACTTACAAGTTATTTGCATCATCTAGGAGTGATGAAACTTAGCTGGTACCTTCAGATTTAGGATATGGCGGTCTGAGAACTGTGACTGGGTGAGATGCTCAGAAGTCTAGGAGTACGCAAACGCAATGAAGAGAAAGTGAGAAAAAAATCAAAGATTTATAGAAGAGCCATCTTATTTATAGAATTTTAATATCTTATTTATAGAAAAGCCACCTTCCACCCCAAAAGAAAATGCAATGATAAACTGCTGGAAAGCACCTGGAAGGGCTACATAAGACAAGTAGCACTGAATAGCGTGTGTTTTTAACAGTTCCCATATACCTGCCCATTAGGTAGCAGTCAGTGTGCTTGAGGAGAAACAGGTATCAGAAACATCGTGCTGAGGCTCTAACTGGTCCATACGAATGACACGTCGGCCAGGGACTCGCCAGCTGGATATGAAGGCAGATGATAGCAGCGTATGAAGTGCAGTAATGGTTGGCTTCAGCATGGAACGAGGCAGAAGGTGAGCAGTACAGAGTGCTTCCCAAGCTGCAAAGCAGCCACAGAGGGTGGTTGGCACAGCCAGGGAGTCTGGAAAGCATGAAAACCATTCGAGGGAATGGATGTCCTTAGCATGACGGCAGGGGATGACAGGGAGCAGGGGAAAGAGGCTTGTGGCAGAGCAGCGAGGAGAGGCATAGCAGATTTTTAACCATATTAGGGTTCTTTGTGCCCTTGGAGAATAGGGAAGCCATGGGGAGTTGAACTTTGCAAAAAGATTTAGGCTCTGCATTGGAGAAAAAAAAAAAAAAGAAAAAGAAAAAGCACTCAAACCACCAGGAAAGCAAGGCCAGAGCAAAACAGAGGGTGGAAATGTTTTCTCTTCTTATGACTCCATTCTCTCAACCACCAAATTATTAACAGCTGAACTATTTCCGATGGTGGGCAGGCGGGTTCATCCGAATTGGTTTCAGGCAAGCATTTCGTGTTTTTCAGATCAAAGCCCAGAGATCAGCGCTCCGCGGTCGGTCTCCATGACAGCAAAACACTAATTTTGTGGGGAGGGGAGCACTAGGACAGATTAAAATTGCGAACCTTTTGGCTGCTGAATCCTGGTGGATGAACACTTGTTTTGCTCTTGGCAGATGTTCTTAGCAATTCCCCTAAAGAAAGTAAGATGTGAAGTTAGGTTGTGACCTGCTCTGGACAGTTTTGCTGGTTCTTTTAGAATCCCTTGATTTATGAAAAAGCATAAACTCCCTTACTGATAAAGCTGTGAATAGCACACGAGCAGCTGCAGCAGCCCCTGACTTTGCCACCAGCGTTTGGGCCAGCAGTGCACAGTGCTGGGTGCTGGCTCAGCCTGCGCTGAGCGGGGTGGGTAGCAGTGATGACCCCCCTCCATCCATGGGATGCTCCAGGGAAAGCCTTAGCCTGGGTGTATTGACCTCCCTTACACAGGCTGTGGTCAACAGGGTCTCTGAAGGAGGTTTGTCTTATCCGTCCACCAGCATGTGCTTTCCTTGCTGCTCTGAGGCCTCTGTGCATTTTCCTAACTATGGAGACTCCCAGGGAATATTGTGCAAGGCATGATACAGCACTTAATGTTTAACCTTCACTTTTACATCCTGACTTTTCTGGCTCATACAGCCTACGCTTAATAGCTGTCTCCCACAGATTTCCCTAGGAGAACACACATTTCTTTATGCACAGCCTCGGTTCTTTTCATAGGTATTTCACCAGTGGTCCTGCAAAACTATCAATCTGTCCCTGTTTTTCTCTGATATAGGATACACTTTTGATCTCTAAGTGTGTGTCACCCTCCTACACAATAGATATGTAAAAACCCAGTGGCTTCCTGTCATCTTGAATCCCAGAAGGAATCTTGCATGATGAATAATCTTATGGTCATACTGATGGCCCAGTGTCACTAGTTGGTCTAATGCAACCCATCCTTAATTCTCCAGATAGCAAATAGTGTAAAAGACAGAAAACAGAAGGCATTTTGTCATTCCTAAATAAGTCCACCATCATAATATAGATTGAACCAGCTGAAAAAGTCTAAGTGGTTGTCAGCGGTGCTTTAGACCCCTTAAATGCTCCCTGATTTCTCTCTGGCAAGTGTGGATTTACTAGAAATATTTCTTTTATAGAGCTCATCCATCTCCTGAAGTTTGTGTGATGGCTGCAGTAAGGCATTGTTGATGACTTTGGCAGATTTTCTTCTTGTATAATTTTGAAGATGAGGAAATAAAGACAGGCATGTGCATATGCATTTCAGGAGCCTGACAGGTGAAGTCCAGGCAATGAAGAATTCATAAATACCTGCCAAACTGGCAGGCCTGGTGATGTCCGTCCTGCCTGAATTGGCTATTGGGGTAGGCACCGAGTGTGCAGGGCAACATCCTGCCTTCTGGTCTGGAGTTTCCTCAGTGTAAAATGGATTTGAGGGGAGAAGATTCTATCCTTCTCTGCAAAGTTTTTGAGAAATAATGAAGCAGAGGGATATATATAAGCCTGATGTTAATGTTATAGATGAGCTGTTAAAACAGAAAAATGGAGAGGCATTTTGTGTGCCTTTTCCTCTCCTTGTATGCCTTCCTTTCGTGGCTACTGAAGCACATAGTTTCCAAGGGGCCAGTGGTGAAAACTGACTTTGTGACGTAGCCTCATTCCTCATAATAAACATGGCAAGCTGGATCACCTTCAATGACAGAGAGGGAAGAGGGGGACAGGGCAAGTTCCCTTGCTCAGGTCCCAGGCCTCCTCCCAGTCCTGCTGTCACAGTTGGTACAGCAGGCCCTATTGATGGCCACAGTGTCGTTGCATAGCAGGTTTTTCAACTTGGGTCAAGGTTATGACATTGTTTAGAAATGATGGGGCCAGGAGGAGTATTCACAAGTGTCCTAGCTTTTGCTGTGCTAAAATGTAGACAAATAGCACACCTGCAAAATAGTAGATGCAAAAGAGTGATAAGCTTGCTTGTTAATAACAATGAATGTTCTTCTCATGTACAGTTGCCCATTCAGTTAATATGAATGTCTGTTGGTGAAAGACAATGTTTGACTATCTGCTGTTTTGCATTTCTTCTAAGTTTCTGACAAATTAAATTGGCAAATGGTGTATGTTTGTAGATTCCTAGTCAAGCTGCAGAGATTCCCTTCTGATGCCACATGTCAGGGTTATATTATGATCTTCAGAGATGCTGCAATGCCTTTTGTAAAATTGAGTCAGTTGGTGGTCAAGGATGCTTGAATTTTTCATGACTTATTTGATGAATTAATCTTTCATTGCTGTTTTAGCAGTTAGAATAATAGATTAAATATTCTGATTGCTTTCTGAAATAGCTATCATTTAGCTATTCTGCATGCCTGATCACCGTCACAAGTCCTGCTGCTTGCAATATCAGAATTAAACCTGTTCAATAGAAATGCATGTAAGTCTTGCTTGCATCTCTATGAGATATGATTAATATCTGAAATAATTATCCTGATTAATATCTGGTATAATACCTGAGATGTTTCGAATATCTAGAAGGCAACTGCTTAGAGCATGTGTTTTTTCTGGATAGCTCTACCTCAGACAGCATGACAACAGCTGCCAGCTTGTTACAGGTTATGCATTTAGGCACAAGAAATTGTTCAACTGTATATTCCTGCCTGGGTGATGATGCAGCCCTTCACAAAAATATTTGCAGAGATAATAATCGTAGAAGGGTGAAGAGCATGTAGCAGCACGTTCACACCCTCACCTACCTGCAGCTCCAAGCCTTGGTGAGCCAGAGGTGGTTTTTCTCCACGCTGATACTCATCAGTGTGTTCCCATCCTCTCCCTGTCCATCATCCTGTCCAGCTCTATTTTGCAAATCCACATGCTTATACTATCCATGGCATTCAGAGCCAAGGAATTCCAGAGCTAAGTGAGATATTGCATAACAGAATATAAACTGCATGTTCTCTATTTTGTCAAATACCACGATTGTGGAGAATTAAACAATCCCAGTATGTGCCAAGATTGGAAGGAGTTGTTCCCTGCCTGCCTTGGCTCTTCCATTGAGCTTTCCTGTCTTGCTGCTGCACCTCTACTCCCTTATCCCTGCCAGCCTGAAGATGACTCCTCTGTTGGGTCATCCCTCACACCTTGTTGCCCTTCTCCTTATCTGTCCCACCTCCCCTCTTACTTTGTCTCAGATGTCCTTACTTAAATTCTTTCCACCTCATTACATCTATTATCACTTCAGGATCTTTTTCATGAGTGAGAGTGGGTTGTTCAGGCACCATTGTCATGAAAGGAAAGCAAGAACTGTTATTCTCATATATATCTATCCTCAGTGAATTGTGCAATTGTAGATGATTTTGCTGCCTTGAGGGGGGGAAAAAAAAGCAGATAATCATTTAAAACAGATTTCTTTTAAAAAAGAAGCCTAAAATTGGACTATAGTAATAAAACTGATGATTTATTTTAGGACATGAAATCATAACAAGGATATTAAACCCAGAAGTTGCTGTAATAACCACGAACTTAAGTAGATGTAAATGAAATGTAGTATTCAGAAAGAACATGCTTATTTTCAAAGTTTGAAAAAGAAAAAGCATTAAGATTATAA